GGGAGCCTGCCAGCTGGAGGGTAGAGGCACAGGCTGAGGGTGGCCCTGGAGACGTTGTAGTACACACTGCCTGGCGGGTCAGGAGGGGCGCTCCCCGGCTGAGGCTGCCTGGCCACACCCCTCTGTCACCTGCATCCCCTTGTTTATGGGCCAGCAGCTGGCACGCTGTCCTCTTCCGAGCAGGCACCTTCCTGAAGCTGTAGGGCCACCCAAGCTGGGATGACCCCTGCTGTGACCTTCCCTCCGTGGACCTCCAAGTCCTCTCCTCCAGGGAGGGGCTCAGCCTGAAGGTCCTGCACCCAACCCTACAGCAGGCAGGCCAGGCCCCCACCCTACCAAGGCCCGAGCCGCAGTGTCCTGGGACAGCTGCCCGTGCTGGGCCGCAGGAGGAGGCCCGTCTGTAGATCTTAGTGTCACTTGCTTTCTTCGTCTCCCCGCACGTGCCGTCACGCAGAGGGAATCCTCGGCCCGTGCCCATCCCGCCCCCGGGGAGCTGGACCTGGCGAGCTGCTGCACATGTTTAACTGGCTCTGTTGAAATCGAACTGCGGGAGAGGGTTTGGTGCTGGGGGTTGCAGCAGGCTCGGTTTCAGTGTACAGCAGCCCCCAGGCGCGGGGACGCCTCCGTCCCCCTAGAGACGCTGCCCTTTCCCATAGATGCGGGCCTGCGGTAAAGCCGGTGTGTGCATCAGGCACAGGGGGAGACTGGCGATGGGAGAGCGAAGTACAACAGCGCGCGAGCGCACGGTGGCCACGGTCACGGGGCCGCCCCTTGCTGTACCGCGCGCTCCCTCCCTGCGATCCTGGATGGTGGTGGGGCGCAGCTGGGGAGGGGATGTCAAGCGTCGTGATGTAGCTCTCTGACGTGTGCTGTGACCCAGCGTCCTGACGCAGGCGTCGTGACGCAGGCTGGGCTGCTCTGACCTGACTGACGGTAGGCGTGGGGAGCATCTCCTTCCGGGCGCAGGGTGTACGGGTGACCGGAACGTCGGAGCAAGAGGGCCGCCGAACCTCAGACGCGGAAGCGTGAGGCCCCAGCCGGGCTGAACGAGGGCCTTGTCGGTGTTTCGGTCCTACCTAGTGTCTCAGTGGTCAGGGGTTAAAGCCCACCTGGGCGGCGCCCTGGCGAGCGCAGGAGCGGGCCCAGGGCAGACGGGCATGGCTACCCCGGGTGTGGGGAGGCGGCCTGCACACCAGGCTCCTGCTTCCATGCGCGGTGCCACCCCCTCCTGGAGTCGGCGCCTGGGCTGGAGACGCGGGCCTGAATGTGAGGTTTGGGGCCTGGCTGAGTGCCACCATCTTCCACTGGTCACGGGGAAGGGGTGCATAGTGACCCAGCCAGTGCACCCCAGTGTCAGTGGGGCCAGCCCACCAGGTGGGGAGTGGGCAGGGGCCCCCCACCCCATGACATGAGTAGAGCCACTGCTGTGGACTTGGGGTCCCTTGGCCAGCTGAGAAGCGTGTGGCCAATTGGAGCTGGAACAGCAAGGAGGGCTCCTTGCAGTGGGCATCTGTCGTGCTGGGAGAGCAGATCTGCGTGAGCCTGCCAGGACCTCCTGCTAGGGAGACTGTCAGGGGTCCCAGCACCACCGTGGGGGAGGCAGGCCCTGGGGGAGCATCTGCCCCAGAGTGTGGCTCCTTGGACATGGTGGGGTGCGCACACGTGGGTGTCCAGATAGCAAACATGGGGAGCCCGGCATGGATGGTTTCCTGGGCCCTGGAGCTCTGACGCCTCTGCCAGTCCCTCCCAAGTTTTCTTCATGTTGGCTCTCGGCCTCGGTCATATTGGCTGGTGAGTTCCGCTCATGATAAAGGCAGTAATAATAGTGATCTCGTAGTTGGTGCTGGGCCCGGGGTAGCGCACAAAGTGCGGCCTGTGGAACCACAGCACCGCCTCGCCCACCTCACAGCACACTTTCATTTAGTGCTTTTTAATTCACGATGAAACATCCAAGACAGACTGACTGCAGCATGTAGCAGAGATGGCACGGGCGGGGCTTGGCCCAGCCCATCAGGGCCCAGTGGCCATGGACCTGCTGCAGAGCAGCCCTCTCCCCACCCTCACCCCCCAGGCGGGTGCCGCCCCATCACTGTTTGTGATTTCTGTAGATCTTTTCTCCTGGTTTTGCTAATATTTTCTCATCGTGTACCACTTTTAAATGAGGCAGGCACAGATGCGGGACATGAGCCGTGAGGATGTCTGTCCGGGGCTGACTGGGCGGGCTGGCGCCCTGCCTCGGTGACAGCTGTGCACTGTCAGTGTCAGAATGCAGTACAGGGGTCCACCCGACCTGAAGTCCCGCACCGTGGAAGGGAGCGTCCCCACCAAGTTCTCCGAAGGCCAGGAGCACCCCCAGGGTGCCAGGGGCTCATTGTCTGATTTGTCACCGTGACACACCAGTTGGCGGTAGTCCCCTCACCCTTCCTTGGCACAGACTCCGGAGGCCCCTATGCCTGTTGAAGGTGCAGGGCGCTATAGGGTCTCCGTGATGAGGCCCACGTGGCCTGCAGTGTTCCTGTGTCTCTGCTGGGTCCTGTGGGGCTGGAGATGCTTTCCTGCCCTCATCAGTCCTTTGATTTCTCCAGTGAGGGGCACCCTACCCAACCTACCCAGGAGGGGTCTCGCCAGGGCCCAGGGGCCAGCTCAGGACCATACCTGTCCTCCTGCCCCTTAGCCCGGGGGGGAGCTCAGGCCCTGGGGAGAGGTCCGCAGGAGCTGGGATCCTGCACCAGCTGCCCCGCCCCGACCTGGGTCTCCCACTCCAGCCCCGGCAGGCCGCCCCCTGCAGGCTCAGGGCAGTGCGTGGGAAGGCCATCTAGGGCCTTCTTGAGTCTGGGGAGCACCTCCTGAGAGAGTCCCTGCTTTCCCCCAGGGCCAATCTGCGCATTTGCATCTGCGGGTCCCCACTGGGCCTCCCTGGTGCCCCTCACCACCGTCGGGGTGGCTGCACCCAGGAGATGGAGCAGCAGAACCAGTGTGGCCTGCCAAGCAGGACCATGTGTGGAGGACATGGGGGCTTGGAGAGTGGACGCTCATGGCCGTTGGGCTGTGGGTCACAATGCCTTTGACCGGAAAACCTGATGAAAAGTATCGACAGCAGCCCAGTCAACATCCGCCGCATGTGTCTAACGTTCACAGCTTTGGTCAGGTGTCTCCACCCCCTGGTCCCGCCCTGAGGGCGGGGGGAGGTGGCGGACAGGTGTGCCGGTCAGCCTCATGGGAGGTCCCTGTGCTGGCTATGAGTGCAGATCCCCTGACAGCGGGTGGAGGGTGGTCTCAGGGCACGTGAGCTGTGTCTGCATTGGACCTCCCTCACCATGAGATTGTTTCCTTTTTAAAATTTCTGTCATTTCATTTTTGTTAAATGATCACATTATTGCCTTTTCAATATGAAAACCCTGAAAGAGGGAGTCCCCCACCCACAACCATCCTGTCTCCCTGCTGACCCTCACCAGGCTGGGCTGGTCCATGTGTCTATGAGGCCGTCACCCTGACTGGGAGGAGCCCCTGAGGCATAGTGCTGTCCTGTTGCTCACACCGTGGTCCCAGGCCCAACACAGAGGACAGCGTGCAGTTGGCACTGTTTGTCAAGGGAATGAAGGAGCATGGCAGTTGTGGGGGGCACTCCGCATGGCTCTGCAGGGTGGGCGCCCAGGTGGAGCTGTGGCTGCACGGCCAGAAGGGAGATGGTGGCTAAGGGGCAGCCCAAGGTTGTGGGAGTGCCAAGGGGCCTGGGCTCCAGGGAGGGGGCACGGGGCTGCTGGCATCTGGGGCGGGACCTCCCAGCTGCCATGGCACAAGGAGGCCTATTTTTACCTTGACTGCCCTGCCTGGTGCTGGCACCTTCTTTATGGTCAGTGTTAGTATCTCACATTTGCTAATGGCGGCCGTGCTGCGTCTCACAGGCGGCAGATGTCTGAAAGAAGGCAGGACGCCCTGGCCTCCCTGGGACTCGGGGGACGAGTAGAGGATGAGGAGGCAGGGCCCTTGAGTTGTCACCTTCCAATGAAATGTGTTCCTTCTTTGCATGCTGGGGCCCGGGACAGACCAAGGGCCTCACCACCTTCAGTCCTGTACCCCTGGGTGGCTGAGATCTGGAGAGCAGGGACAGTGTCCACAGGGGGCAGCAGGAGTGAGGGGCATGTCCACGTAGCCGTGTATGCCTGCGTGTGTGTATGAGCAGCTCTGTGCCTTCCGTGCATGCCTACATGAGTTAAATGTGCACAGTGTGAGTCTCCATGTGAACCTGTGTGTGTGTTTCCATGCATCCATGTTCACCTGTGTATCTTCACAGGTCCCATGTACCCTGTATGAGCATCTGTGTGTGCATGTGTGTGTCTACATGGGTCGCATGTATACTGTACCAGTGTCTCCATGTGTACTTGTGTGTTGTGAGTGCGTGGCATGTTCGCACCTCAGTCCCCCTAGTATGAACATGTCATATGTGCTCCATGTCCATTTGACAGGCATGTAGAGTGTGCACATCTGCACTTTATGTGTCTTTGTGCAGCATATGTGTATATGTGTGTGTTTGGGGGGACCAGCCTGTGTGGGGAGCCTGGACTGCCTGGGGTGGGGGTTCCAGCCGGGTCTCCCTGCCCTTGGCTCTGTACCGACGTTAGCAGACCTGGGAGCGGCTTTGCGCTGGTCTCCATGGCCCTCAGGCCAGTGTGGGTGCGACGCCTTCTTCGTGTGGCCCAGGTTCCTTTGAGCTGAATGCTGGGCTCCCTCCCTCTGGGATGCAGGCCCTTCATTTCCGGGTGTGAATGAGTGGGCCACATTTAATTTCCTGTCTGCTGGGGCAGGGCCTGGAACACCACACCACGTGGGAGTGCGGGTCAGCAGCCTGGCCGGTGTGCCGGCTCTCACCGAGCATGCTTCCACGGGACCACTGGAGGGGTTTGAGATGCCCCCCTGGAAAACGTCCACCCTCCACGCAGCTGGGTGGGCCCCTCCACAGCCAGGGCCAGCCACTCAGCCACATCTGTGCCTTTTCGCAGGTCAGCTGGCCGCCGGCACATGTGAGATTGTGACGTTGGACCGGGATAGCAGCCAGCCTCGGAGGACAATCGCCCGGCAGACAGCTCGCTGTGCATGCAGAAAGGGACAGATCGCAGGCACCACGAGAGCCCGGCCCGCCTGCGTGGACGGTAAGAGCCCATGACTGGTGCCCCTCTGGGGGTGCCCACCTGACGCCCCTGCTCTCCAGTCAGGCCCAGGGCCAGGCATCTCCTCCGGAGCAGTTGCTCCCTGGGCAGCCTTGTCTGGTGCACATGCAGACCACAGGCTGGCTGCAGCTGAGGTGTCTAGGGTATGGCTCGGAGCTGGGGTCCCCTGGGGATTACTGGTCTGGAGGCTGCAGACCCTTGGTGTGACTGTGGGCAGAGGGGGCAGGGGCCATGCCATGTGCTGGATGGCCATGGTGACCTGTCACAGGGTTTCTGGCTGATGCCACAGGCAGGTGGTGGGCTCTTCCCCTCCAGGTCTGGCAGGCATCAGCACCTGCCACCCTAGCTTGGTGGCATGCCCAGAGCCGCATCCCCTGTGGGCTCTGAGGATGAGCCAGTGAGCCCGGTGGGCTGGTGCTGACGTAGCGCGTGGCCAGGAAGCTAGATGTCTCGCGGTGAATGCTCCTGGTCAGTGTTCTTAAGCTAGAGGCACCTGCATGAAGTGGTGCCCGTGGGCGAACCTGGCGGTCCTTAGGCAGGGTGGGAGGCCCTTGCAGCTGCTGTCAGGGTATCGCCGTGGGTGGTACCCTGGTAGACGGGGCCACTGCAGGTCACGCGGGGGAACGGGGTGGGACATTGGCTAGCACAGCCCAGTTGGTCAGCAGGAGAGCCACGACAGATGGCAGGGCCTCCCCACGGGCAGGAAGTGTCGGAGCTGGGCAGGGCAGGTGGAGACACCCCTCCCCTGGGGTGGCTGTGGGGTGTCCTGTGGCCTGGGCAGCAGGAGCTGTTCCTGTCAGCCCGGGGTCTTTGGGGTGGGTGGCCTCATGGGGGCGCAGGGCGCTTCGTGGGACAGGGTCACAGCATGTCAAGGTGCCTGGGTCTGGGGCACAGCCAGTCTGTCCTGGGGGTGGGGAGGGATGTGCTGGGCTTGCCCAGAGCTGGGCCCCAGCTGGGTTTTCTGGTTCTGGCTGGAGGCCCTCCCACCACAGGGCTGAGGTGTGGTGAGTGCTCAGAGCACAGCAGCTGAGAGGTGCAGAAACAGCGGAGATGGGCCATGTGGGGTGGGTGCTGTCATCACCTCGGCAATGGCTTTCTGAGCCATGTGGGTCCAGGGTGGCCCCAGAGTGAGAAAGGGCCCTTGAAGGGATCAGCAGAACCCTGAGGCCACCTGGGGCTGGGGGATGGCTGGGATCAGGGACACCCCCCACCCAGAGTCACTGATGTGTCTGTCCTGGTATTGTCTGGGTATGTGGCTGGGCAGCGAGTCTGCTTGGGGCCTCTGGCCAGGCTCTCAGCCCACTGGGCCCTGGCAGGAGACGGAAGACATGGGGTGAGGAACCGGGGACCCGAGGGAGGCAGACCCAGCCTGCACCACTCCCAGCCCAGGAGCCCCGTATACCCTCAGGGCCAAGCCTGGGGTGCCTAGCAGTACCCTGGAGGCCTAGCAAGCGCTCAGCTGACCCCTTACCCCAGTCCCCACCTTTGCTGCTCTCTGGTTCCCACGGCCCATGCAGCCCGCCTTGAATGCTAGCCTGGAGGGCAGTTTGGAGGAGGGTGACCTTGCGTGCTGTGGTAGAGGCCAGCAGCTGGGTGGTTAGGCCGATGGTGCCTCTGGCAGATGTGCAGCGGGAGGAACCGATCACTGGAGCCAGTTTGTTAAGAACCCATTGTCCATCCTTATTAAAAGCATCACCTTCCGGCACCCCATAAAAGGCATGTGATTATACAGGCAGGCGTGCAGCTCTCAGTTCTATCCACTCTGCCGACCCCGGTTTGCGCGCAAACCTGGGCCTAGGGGGTGGCCATCCTCATTCGCAGAGACCCAAGTCCATCCCCACCATCTCCTACCTGCCTCCCGCTCCCGTAAGTGGAATAAGCCCACCGTCTAGGGCCAGCGCCTTCCTGGCCCAGGACAGTGACTGACCCTCCCAGGGTGGGAGGAAGAGGCGGCACAGCTCGGAGAGAGGCTGGTCGCCGCATCCCTTCCTTCCTCAGCCCCCCGAGCCTGGGGGAGAGTGGGCTCCGAATTGGTTCCTAATTGAATCCGGGTCTGCTCATCTGCAGCCTCGCTCTCCCTGTCTCCCCGAGAGCCGTCCTGTGCCTCAGGAGCTGGTCCCAGAGACCCAAATTAAAACCCCGGCCATTTTCAAGGGAGGCCAAACAAATTAGTTAGCTCGCATTTCTGCTCAGTGGGCATTTTCCGGCTGCCATCTAATTTAATTTTTGCTTTTCTATTTTCCTGCTCTGTGTGCATAATAAGCTTCCACATAATAAGTCTGCTAAAGAGAAAGCATGTACCATGTCAGGGTGGTTGGAATTCCGTGTGAGCTTCACACGGTGGTGGAATTCAGGTTGGGGTGCTTTATGCTCACCCTGTCATGTTCAGCAAACATGGAGCTTGAGACGCTGGGAATGAATGTGTTTGTGTGGTGGTTTACTCATTATCAGCTGGCTTACTGATCTCCTGTTCATTCAGATAAGACGGTCGGTCCTCCTGAGTGGGGGAAGGACATGCAGCGCTGTGGAGCTGGGGCCCAAACCGCGGGACCCCACAGTACTGCTGTCTCTTCTGCCCAGGGCTTTGGTAATGTTGTATCTACAATGGAGCATTTGAGCAGGGTATTGAGGGATGAAGAGGAGCTCACCAGGAAAGCAGCTTCCCTTCCTGAATGGAGAGAGCCAGTGGCAGGAGGGGAACTCCTGGCCATGTCTCCATGTGCGAAGTATTCCAGGGTGAACCTCTCCCCAGCCTGCATGTACCAGCCCTGGAATCCTTCTAGCTTAGAGAGCCATCAGGAAAAGGGATTCTAAAACAAACCTCACCATTTCTGCCAGGCTTCCTGTCCTCGTACACAAATGCGGGAGCAACTCCTCTCCTGAGGACTGCCCCAGCCATGGACACTGCAACCAGCTGGGTCCACAGGGCTGGGCAAAGCTACCCACACCATGTCCCGGCTGCTGTGAAGCCCTGAGCACCCCTCCTCCCGGCAGCAGGAGTGTGGGTGGTCTCGATGACCCCAGGGTGCTGCCGGGGGACTGAAGCCCTGTCCCCAGGCCGCTCCCTGTCCCCGGGTCAGCCCTGCCCAGTGTACAGCAGAGAGCCGTCCATGGCCAGCTCTCCTCCTCCCTGGAGCAGTATCTTTCTTTATAAGTGGAGGTTCTTCATCCCATCAGCTGAGTTCATGTGAAGCTGTCTGAAGAAAACCAAAGTGAAGAAAGCAGCATGGTGCCCAGGGGCCAGGAGGGGGAGATGTGTCTCTGAAGCAGTGCCACCCCTGCAGTGGGGGTGGAAGGAAAAGGTGGAAATGTCGGGCTGGGGCTGCAGGTGTCCACTGGGAGCCTTGGGGAGGCAGGCCCGTGGCTCAGCTCCACACAGGCCTGTTGTGAGGGCCACAGCAGCCCTGGGCAGGGAGGGCAAGCTAGGCTGGCACATGGTCTGGAGAGGCTTTGGGGAATCATGGGTCCCCTCTGTTCGTGGCCAGTCAGGCTCTATCAGGTCCTGCCGGGCCCCTCTGGCTGGTGGGATTGGCCACTGGCACCTGCCAGGAGTCCTGCCGTCCTCCAGATGACCCTTATATTCCTGAGTAAGGAGTGCACCTGTGTCCTGTGCCTGTGCACGAGGGCTGGAGCCCACAGCTCACCTTTTCTTTCCAGGGGCTCCTGGGATGCCACGGGCCACAGGTGTGGAGTGGAGAGGCTTGTCTTGGTGCCTGCAGGCCGAGCCCCTGTGTTCACCCACAAGCAGGGGGAGAACTGGACGTCCTCACACTCTGCACATGAGATGCAATGTCCACGCACCCTTTCAGAACTGGTACCCACCATGCGCAATGGAGGGAACCACGTTTTTCCATTCACATTCTTTCCAGCAGTGCATGGGGCACACAGGTCCCAAACTTGTGCTCTGCGGAGGAGGTGTGGAATGGGGCCTGTGCACACGGCTGCTGTGGTCCTGGATGGGGGCGGGGCCCTTGGGGAGGAAGCGAAGACCCAGAAGAGAGTCCAGAAGGGAGCCCTGAGAGGCCTCCTCATTTAGATGCAGGTGCAGAGAATTGAGAGCCCCAAAATAAACCCTCAGATGGCATCAACTGATTTCTGACACGGCTGCTGAGACCATTCAGTGCAGAAAGCTGGTCTTTGCAAGAAATGCACCATGACAACTGGCTGTCCAAGTGCAAAAGAATGAGGTCCGGTCCCTGTCTCAGTCTATACGTAAAGTTAACTGAGTATGAGCCAAAGACCTTAATGTGAAGGGCTGAGACTATACAACTCTTAGAAGAAAACGGGTGAATCTTCATGACCTTGGATTTGGTAAAAGATTCTTAATATTATACCAAAAGCACAAGCAACAAGAGAAAAAGTAGATAAACAGGGCTTCATCAAAACTGAAAACTTGTGTGCCTCAGAGGAACCATGAGGGAAGTGAAAATGCAGCCCTCGAAAGGGGAGAAAATACTTGCAAATCAGCGTCTGATAAGGGACAGGCATCGAGAATGTGTAAGGAGCTGATGTAACCCAAAAACATGAAGACATGCCGATTTGACAATGGGCCAAGGATCGGCATGGAAGTTTCTTTAAAGCAGATGTGCAGAGTTGCCAATAAGCACAGGGGTTGACGCTCCCGTCATCGGTCATGAGGAGGGCACAGCAAACCCAGTGAGAACACCCCATGCTCGCCGGGACAGCTCGGGCCCAAGAGTCTGTGAGGCCACGCTGTGCGGATGTGCAGATCCCGAGCCTCACTCACCGGTGGCGTGAATGGAGGTGGTGTGGCCACCTCTGGAAATGGTCCACGTCAGAGTCACCGTGTGCCCTGGCAATGCCACTCCCAGCTGTGTGCCCAGGGGAAATGAAAGCGTATATCCACACTAGCACTTGTACACAAATGGTCAGAGCAGCAGTGATCCTGACAGACAGAGTGGAAACAGCCCCAGTGGCCGTTAGTGGACGAGTGACTGAAACACAGTGTGTCTGTGTAATGG